AAAAACTCAGCTACTTGACTATCCTTTTCACTCTGAAGTTTTTTCGTACCAGGGTCCTTAATTCCTAAAAGTTCAAGTTCCCAAAAGTGGGAGGGATTAACTTGATTTGTAAGAGTCAATAACATCGAAGAAGTCATTCTAGTTTCACTGTCTGGTTCAGATTCACCAACTAGTGTCCATCCTAGTTTTGTTTTCACAGCAGCCAAATCATTACCTACTTTTACATACTCCGATGTAATCAATTTAGGCCAACTGTCAGCTCCAAGAAGCAACTGTATATCACTTACTTCTTCTGAGGATTCACAAAAATCCGACAAAATCACACCTTTTGCTTTGAGATTTTCGTATATTCTGATGTCCGATACTTTAGGTATGAATCCGCAGATACGAGGTGTGTCCAAAACTTTGAAATCCTCATCAAAACCATCAGTTGTGGATTGAAGTTTTACAGAATAAACTCCATGAGACCTTAAATTTGTTTTATGTCCCCCAAACAACTCTTGATTCGTCACAGTTTTACCCATTCTCTTCAGTTTTAAATCAGTCGCACAAGATTTCAAAATATAACTTTTTTGGTTTCCAGAGTCAATCAACGCACGAACTGTGTTCTTGGGTTCCCACGACGATTTTCACAAGAAGCGTGCTTAGGTATACAACTTTTGATTTACTGATACTTGACACTAATGCCTGACTTGTACTATCCTCAGGAATAGTTTTCTGTTCATCAGATTTTTCTGTTTTATTCAAGGTAAGGCTGAGTTTCTTTTGTAAATCTTCACACATAATCGGATAGTGTTTTCTTAAACAAGCTGCACACTTTACCATAGCTTTACAGGAATTACTCATGTGCCGACCTTTTAAACACTTGAAACAAGATCCTTTCTTCTTCAAAATATCTTTTCGTTCAAGAAGAGTCAAATCCAAAGATTTCACACAATCTTGAGATCTGTGGTTTTTATCACAAAACACACAAGTCAATGAATAAGTACCTTCTGTAGTCGATACAAATGCCGCCGCCGAAGGCTGTTTCTCTAAAGGCTTCCGATTGTTTTGTTTCTCAAAACCTTTATTTGTTTTGATAGAAGATCCCCACAAATCTTCAGAGGAACTTGAGGGATATTTTACATTGTGTTTGGTACTTGCGATTCCAAATCCTTCCAATGCCATGGAGACCTTTTGTTCTCCCTCTACCTCGTTTTTAAGGAACGTCAACAGATTCTCCAAAACTTCTTGGGATGAACTTTCATGATTGTTAGAGTTATGGTTCGTTGTTCGCTGCCAAAGTTTGAGGATTTCTTCGGGCAGACTTGATGTTACCATTGGAAATAGCAGTGAGGCACAATACTCTGAAGTCACTCCCAGTGCATTAAGATTCCTTAAGTGAGACTGGATCTTGTCATAAAGAACCGACAAAGTTGGTTTTTCTTTACTTGTGACGTTCTGTATTGTTAGAGCCAACATTTGCCTCATGTAATACTCTTTCAAGAGATCGTCTCTTCCGAATCGACTCTTTAGAGCTTCAACAACTTCGTTGTACATTTCAGGCGTCGCAGGGTAGCTTTCAACCAAGTCACGGGCAGGCGATCCAACCGCAGTTGCCATTATAAGATACTGGATCTTATCTGCTGGGTCTACATTCTGATCTTCGTCGATCTTCTTAAATTGAGACCAAAAGGGGAGCCACTCGCCTAGTTCTCCGTTAAACTCTTTAAGTTTCAAATAAGGTAGCTTGTATGAGCGTCCTGCTTTACCCGATCCTGAGCCTTTTTGCGTTATTTCACTCCTTTCATCTTGATGTGAATTCATTTCATTAATTTTTAGATGTTCCACTTTCTTAGAAATAAGATGATATTGTACAATATATTCATTTTGCCCTTGAAGTTCTTCATCAATGTCTTCATCTCTCGCATCACCTTCTAATAATTGATCATATATTGATGAATTTAGGTCGTTGAGAGTGCAAAAATGATTATTTATTACTTCAAGCTGTGCTGATACTTGTATAAAATCAACTATTTCTTCCTTTAAAATATCTTCAAGTTTTTTAACTGTCACAGTAAATGTCCTTCGAATAGCTGATCTTGATTTCTTTAGTTTTGTTAGTTCAGCCATGTTTTCCAATTCACTGTTTCAGTATTCAAAATTGTGTTCAATAAAACAGGGTCAGATTTACTCGTTATCACGTCCTGTCACGGTCGCCATATATTACAACTTAGGGGAAATTCCTTAAAAAATATTAAATATTCCCTTCAGGTTCTAACGAGTAATTAAAATAAAAACCTCTTTTATTCACTTACTAAAAGAAACTGTATTCTATTCTTAAGAATTTTTAACATCACCAACTACTCTGTTTACAAACCAGAATAATAAAAATCAAACATATGATCATATGTTAGTTCCATACAGTACATTAGTTAATTAAACCAAAGTCTTTTAAATTGTGGGTATGAAACCAAAGTCTATTAAATTCAATTTGTAACACTAAAGTTACTAGAATTTAAGCATAAGGTTTTCCTCGGTGTTATGTTTCATACTAGGCGGCTCATTGAGCCGCACGGGTTCACTAGTTTAATACTTTAATTTACATTCATACATATTTCAATGTAAAAAATCGAGAAAGCCTGGGCAATTTGATATATTTTATCAAATAAGAAAAATTAATTGACAGGATACTGTATTTCTTGAGCAATCATTGAAAGAACCAATTTTTTAACCATGGAAATATAGGAAAGTCATAGAACGCCACCAAGTAGAAGAAATAGAGATTTAAAAAAAAGCTATTTACCATCGTTATCATCCTATACAGGGTGAATAAAAAGTCAAGACCCCCCCATCTAATATTTTTCCAAGTAAATATATAGAGATATCCTTTTGGGGGTCGTGCAATCTTAACAGGAAGTTTCATTTTGTGATTTTGAAATTTTTGAGTGTCCCCCCAAAAGGGGGGATTTGGGGGGTAACTCAAATATTTTAAATGTAAACCCCCTTCAAGTGACACCTCATTTTAAAGTGTTTACACAAACTTAAAGAATGGTGAAAACTAGAGGTCGCTATCTCTTCTCTATCCAAAATGGTAGCCCGTCAAATGTTGTGGAAAATCAATGGTAAAATTTGTTCGTAATGGTAATATTGGCTACCATTTTGGATAGAGAAGAGATAGCGAACTCTGGTTTTCACCATTCTTTAAGTTTTTGTAAACACTTCAAAATGAGGTGTCACTTGATGGGGGTTTACATTGAAAAGTTTTTAGTTGCCCCCCCCAATCACCCTTTTGGGGGGACACTCAAAAATTTTAAATGTAAACCCCCATCAAGTGACACCTCATTTTGAAGTGTTTACAAAAACTTAAAGAATGGTGAAAAACACCTACAATATGAAGATTCCCACAAACAATGAACAAGGATGTTAGCCGAAGTGTTACTATTTTGTAGGAAACACAGACTTAACTTTATGATGATTGGCAAAATAAAACACTGTAAGGCAGAATTAAACTGGTACAGCAAGGACATTAAATACCGGGTGTTCCAAAAAAAATTGATCAAAAGTAAACTGACATGAACACTTTATTCAATTATTATTATTATTTAGATTTCACAGCCTAACTTCTACATGTTCTCCGTTGTTCGCTCGGAGAAAGTCAAGGCGGTGTTCAAGCTCAGACCACACATTGTGTCGCATTTCATTGGATATTTTTCCAAAAGGCTTCCCTTATCTTTGCTTTAAGTTCATCTAAGTTTGAGATTGGCAAGTTATACACTTGATCTTTCACAAATCCCCATACAAAAAAATCACAAAGCGTAATGTCTGGAGATCAAGGAGGCCACCGTATGGGACCGCCTCGACCAATCCAACTGTCTGGGAAGGTTTCATCCAGTGTTCCACCAGACGTTCACTTTGGGGCTGTCTCTTACATGCTCACGAACAAAATGCGGTCTTTGTGAACCCCAAATCCTCTCATTATGTTTGTTTACGTTTCCCGAAGTGTGGAAGGTTGCTTCATCAGAAAAAAAATTATTTTCAAAAACTGGTCGTCATCAGCAACTTTATCCAGGACATTAATCGCAAAATCTTTACGAAGCTGTTTATCATTTGGTTTCAAAACTTGAAGTTTGTATGCTCTAAAGTGTAATATCTTGTGAAGAACTCTGTGAATACTAGATCTAGATACATTTAACTCACGTTCAGCAGTTCGAAGTGACTTTCTTGGGCTTTGAAGATATGCATCTCGAATGCTGTCAACAGCTTCATTCGACAGTCAAGGCCTACCGTAACCTTTTTTATGGCCGATGTTTCCAGAATTCTTAAACTGCCTGTACTGCTTAAACTGCTGGATACTGTTTCTGGATGGTGGATTTACATTGTATACAGTCTGCAATCTTCTTTGTACTTTAACCACTGATTTAGTCTCAATGAACCACTCGAGGCACTGTGCTTTTAACTGCACATTCATAATGCAGCTGTGAGGTTTGTTTATGTTTTGAAAATTCAAACGTGCTCACAACAATGAAAATCTGATTTTTGTTGAATCATACTAAAAAAAAACTTAAAGATGTCAGCTTTAAAATAAGCCATACTTGACTTTCCTACAACCCTCAATAACACGTATATTAAGCTGTAGATTTGATCCATTCTTTTTGGGACACGGTGTAGGCTATATGTTTTCATAAAAGTCAAGTGATTTTAAAATAATATGACTACATCCAAGAAACCTTAATAAAACTTCCACTGAAGGATTTGCACTATTTACGTTTAAGGGAAACAAAAAACCATCTGAACAACATTAGGCCTTTCAATTCTGAATTTTTTTTCATGTAAATATAACTTGCGTTATGACAGTAACTAGCCAAATTAATGCCAATTGAAGCAAATAAAATTGTGACAGAGAGGTTATGCAGAAAATCAGGCAGTTCTTAAGTAATGTAAACAAAATGTTATCGCTAGTACACTAGTACTAGTCTTAAAGCAATTCTAGAATAAGTAGGATATTACATTTTCATTACCTAAAGTCTTGTTGAGAGGGTCTGTCAAGCTCTCGTACCCAAAGCTGCAGTGATTTTGCTCAAGTCCTGAACATGTAAAAAAAAAATTAACATTTTGTTACACCTAAAAACTATCACTAAAGGTTATGTTTACAGCATGTGACTATTTACAGGGAATCAAATGTTGGAGTTTGTAATCTTGTTCCTCATTGCCTTCTTGGTCTTAAGTTTATAACAGCTGTCATGTATGATATTTTATGCCATGTGTTTGCTATGTTTATTATTTGTTGTAAATAAACTTCACTTGGACTTTAGAAACTGTAATCATTTTACTCCTAATTATTATAAAGGAAAATCAATTATAAACAAGTGGTTATGGGCCCAGTTTCACTTTTACTGTAACATGTTCTCTGTGGCCTATTTTGAACTGTTTAATTTTTTAGTGAAGTGTTTAAGAAATATCATAGTAAATTTCATTGAATGAACACTTATTAATTACTATGATGGGGGACAAAGTTGTATACTCCACATCCAGTCCCTGGAATTTCTAAGTTGAAAGGGTCAGCCAACTATGCAAGTTAGAAATTTGATATGAAGATGGCTCTAAAGTGTAAGGGATTGTGGAATTGCATCGAGCCACGAAGACTACTACAGAGACGACACCGCTAACTGTGGATCCGGACAAAGATGAAAGGGCATTCGCCAAGATCGCCATGCACCTGGAGGCAGCTCCAAAACTACATGTCAGGATGGCCACATCAGCGAAGGAAGCGCGGGACATTTTAGCAAAGCAGTATGAAGTCAAGAGCACAAAAAAGAGAATATTTCTCCTGGACCAGCTTTTTGATTTAAAGTTGGAAGTATGCAACAGCATGAGTGAGTAGCCTATATTTCTAAATTTCTTGACCTCAATGCTCAACTTGCTGGCATGGAGAAACCTGTGGACGATGAAATGAAGGCGTTTCTACTTCTAAGAGGTTTGCCTGAGTCTTACTGGGCATTTAGGATGGCAGTCGAGAGTACAGATAAAGTAGAATATAGTAAAGTACTCGAAAAATTAAATAGCATGACTGAAAAGGATACCACAGAGTCCTCAGTAGTATTTTCAATTTTTAAAAACTTTTACTGGGAAGCCTTTTCTATCAAAATCAAATAATAATCAAGCTAATTCTAATAATAGCTCAAAGACGAGGAAGCCTTTTATTCCTAGACTGTTTGTTACAAATGTAGAAAGGCAGGCCATATGATAAGGGATTGTCCTGAAAGTAATCAAGCTAATATTAGTAATAGCTCAAAGATAGGGTCAATTTCCAAAATTGGTAGGTCAGATGGTAAAACCAAAAATAAAAATGTTAGATGGATAACTGCCCTGAATGTAAAGGTAGAACCTGAAAGCTTGTACTTAGACTCGTGTTGTTCTGGGAATCTTTCTAAAAGTAAAGAAATTTTTTCAAACGTTTAACTCAAATGAGGGAGTTAAAGAGGTCACTGTCGCTAATAATACCAAAATTTACTCTGTAGGTTCTGGGAAACTTTCTGTGAACCTTAAAAACTCTGGTGAGAGAGATATATCAAATGTGACATATGTAGGCTACCAGTTTTGTCTACAAATTTGCTATCTGTGAGCAAAATAGCTACAGTAGTTAAGGGAAAGTTTTAGTTTTTGATGACAAAGTGTGTAATATTTAAATAAAAGATGGGTTTTCAGTAAGAGGTGAAATCTGTGGAACTGGAACAAATGTAAATGGACTGTATCGGTTGGATACAGAGAGTAAATGCAACATTGATCCAAATGATGGCAATTTGGCTATGTCTACTCAAGTTGACTAGTCAGTTAGTGTGGACCTTCACAAATTTAAAGCACAGAAGGTTGGGTCACTTGAATCATGTTAGTATGGGTGTTTTGAAAAAGGGGATGGCTTTGGGTGTTGATTTTCCTAGTCAGAGGCCAGAATCGTACATTCCCTGTGTGGAGGGGAAACACTTTAGAGAATCTTTCCCAACCACTTCAACTAAGAGAGCTGAGACAAAACTAGAGTTAATCCATACTAATGTCTGTGGGCCTATGAATGTTCATTGTTCAGTCTCTTCAAGGTAATTTCTTCATGCTAATATTTATTGATGACTTCACCAGAATGACCTTTGGTTATTTCTTAAAATCAAATGATCAAGTAGTCGATTGTTTTCTGAAGTTTAAGACTTTAGTTGAAAAAGAGACCAACCAGAATATAAAAACTGTTAGGTCAGATGAAGTACATGAATGCGAGACTAGAAGGAGTGTGTAATAGATTTGAAATAAGGCACCAGGTCACTACTCGATACAGTCCTGAGCAGAATGGGGTAGCAGAGTGTGCAAATAGAACTATTATTGAAAAGGCTAGAAGCATGAGCAAGGGTAACTGGGAGTATGCTGTGGAGGTAGCTATTTATCTTAAGAATCAAAGTCCTACAAAAGCAGTTTGGAAAAAAATTAACAGCTGTAAAAAATTAACATATTGTTACACCTAAAAACTATCACTAAAGGTTATGTTTACAGCATGTGACTATTTACAGGGAATCAAATGTTGGAGTTTGTAATCTTGTTCCCCATTGCCTTCTTGGTCTTAAGTTTATAACAGCTGTCATGTATGATATTGTATGCCATGTGTTTGCTATGTTTATTATTTGTTGTAAATAAACTTTACTTGGACTTTAGAAACCAGATGATGTGTAGTCGTTTTACTCCTAATTATTATAAAGGAAAATCAATTACAAACAAGTTCAAAGACAAGAAGTGTACAGTCCACAGTTCCTAGTACATGTCAAATCTTTATCAATTGGAGTGTTTAGCTTTTGGGATCCAAGAAAAATGGTCGATAATATTATGTAAACAATAAAATATAGTTATTTTCCATTAAAAATTTATCAATTAGATCTGCAACAGCAATAAAAACAATGATTCTGATCATGGAAGTACTTCTCACTCTTCCATTTGAACTTTTGACAATGTCTCAAAGATAAATGGCTCATATGGGACAAATTTAGAGAATAGAACTAAACACCATAGTCTTGCTAAATTTTAAAAATAAAAATGCTTGTATAAATATATGAAAATAAACAAACCAAAACTTACCTAAATTTGGATCTCGGCACAAGTCAATCATAGAGTTAACTAGATAAGGGATCCATTCTTTCGTTGGGTCTGGTTCAAACACCATAAATATATACCTCGAGTTTAGAGGAATGGCGAATAATGATTTGGTGCTAAAAAAACAAATGAGAATTATTTAGCAAGCTAAAACTGAAAATTTTCTATCAAAGCTGAACCTACACGTTGTACAAATGTACATATACTTTACCTCATGGGCAAACTTTACTACATATTTTTATTTGTATATTGCCAAAAAGCTGTGCCAGTATATATTATTCTCAAACTATAAAAACCATTGCAATTGTAAAAGTCTTTTCTTGTTCATATAGGATTACACAGTAAAATTACAAAGGGTGGAAAATAAAATTGACATCAATTTTGTAATTAAATCCCATACTCTAATACGAGCTATGGGTCTGTCTGTAATATATATCTCGAAATCCAGTAGAAGGATTTTGACTAAATTTTGGAATTAGGGACTTATAGCCCTAAAAACGTGACAGCCACTACCTCAGGAAAATTTGTATTTCGCTACACAACTCATTTGAAAATTTAAAAATTTAACATTGGCCTTATGGGTTGGCAAGGAACTATGCTGGTTGAACAAAATAACAAGGAAAAAGTAAAACAAGACTTGTCATATGTGTTTACAACAAGCCATCCACAGCAAATTACAAAGTCACTACAAAGGGAAAACATCAGTTGTAGCTATTGAGCAAAGATTACACTGAAGATTACTTGATATGGGACCGCGCCGAACTTGGACAATGACACACGCGGACAACGTTAAAGTTGGACAGATTAAGTTTCCAGGATTGTCGTTTGCGTGCAACGTTAAACTTGGACACATTTGAATGGGTCCAGTTTCGTCGTGTCGTGCAACACTACCCCTGGACAACTTAAAAACTTGTCCAGGTTTGTCGTTTGCATGCAACGTTAAACTTGGACACATTTGAATGTGTCCAGTTTCGTCGTGTTGTGCAACGCCACCCCTGGACAACTTATAAACGTGTTCAGGTTCGTCGTTTGCGTGCAACGTTAAACTTGGACACATTTGAATGTGTCCAGTTTCGTCGTGTCGTGCAACGACGAATCTGGACATTTGTCTTAAGTCTCTTGTTTTGGGACCTGACTGTACATTCTACCTGTCAAAGTCCATTGTTTGGGATTTCGACCAAGGCCCCACTAAAAAAACACGCCATGCTGAAGGTTCATGACGTCACACTAGTGGATAGATTCTACAATCTACAATCTTATTTTATAAGTTAAAATATTTGTTATAGATATTTTATCTTTCTATTGACGAAACCACAAGCATAGTTGTTGTCGTTTGCATATTTTTTTGTCGTTATTCAAGCCTACTCGGTCTCAAATTATGTCATTGCATGTTCTGTACCTTGTCTTATATTGTTAGATGTGGCTGTTTAAGGCTTAAATGTTTTTTAGTTTCCTGTATTTTTTATTGTGTTGAAGGTACTTTATGCAATCTACATATTATGAACTAGATGGTGATTTTGCTACCCTCATTGTAACCTAATCAATTTATATATAGGCCCTCCTAAATAATTAGGTCTAGGCCTGGGTCTTTTGATTCTTTGGAAGATGCTTTAAAATATACTAAGAAAATTGGATTGAGCCTGAGATAAATTAATGATTGATATGATTGATATTGTGGTTGTTAACTTTGTAAATGAAAAGACAATAATCTTACTCTGTGATAATCCAAATTTTAGTTTCAGAAAAAAAAACTTTGCAAGAGTTGTATCCATCTTATAACTAGTTTTGAAGCTGATAAAAAAAGATGCTCTTTGCCATTACTTCATCATGTCCTCCAGTTTTTCATTGTCGTCTGCTGTGAACAGCTGGCAACTACACTCTCATCGTACTGAATGCTTTTATATGTTTTTAAAATTTTTAAAAACAACTAGACATTGTGTTGGTTGGAAATAATTTACCAGTTGTGAGAAATTATCTTTTCAATAAATGTTTCAAACATGTTTATTTCTAAAAACTCTTATCCTATTTTTAAAACCACTTTTATCATGGCTATTCAAAGTATCTCAGAGTAAAATAGGTAAAGCCTTTATCTTAACTGTGATTTTTCTTGACACAATCCTCGTAGTAGTAAAAGGTTTTGTTTTAATAATGTGTGGTACAGTAATTGTTGTTAGAAAACCATGAATGTGGGATAATATCCATTTTCATAGTAATGCCAATGTATTAAAGTTAAAAATAATGGTTTAAATACAGTTCTGAGCAGAAAACCGCAGAAATACGGGTAGCAGCGTACCGTACCGATTTTGTACCGAGAACCAAGATACAAAATGTTGTACCGTACCGAACTGTACCGACCTTAAATTTTCTGTACCGCAGACCCCTAATTTCCACAAATCTTAAAACATGTAAAATATGTTTTTGTAAATTTTTTAACTGATTTATAAATATGTAAATTTAAAAAATTTCAAAAAATTTATAAAACATCACATACGGCGGTACTCTTTTGAAGGAATCTCTTTTTTAAGGTGATTACAATGCTTTTAACATGTTGAGTGCGGCATACATTCAAACAGGCGCTCGCCAATGGCACGTGGCACCGGAAACAGCAAACACAGTTCAAATATTTCAAATATTCAATAATTGGCATTCAAATATTTCAATCTTACGAATAACAAAAGAGCAGTGGTGATTGTACTGCGTTACCCTGAGTGAACTACGTCCACTTAAACACCCAGAGGTAGCAGCTCTACCTGGATCAGTAGTCAGTGTCTTTGTAATGTGGCTTGAAGAGAGAAAATCCCGAAACCGGGACAAAAGCATTGTCAGACAGGATTTTACGGGAAATTTTATTACCACCTACACCAAAATAAAGCTCACATTCTAAGCTACAGGTTAGCAACGATTATAACGTTCCCCGGCAATGGCTGAGGTCATACTGAACTAATGTAGTGGGGGTGGCGCGACTACATCGATTGATGTTGGCCGATAGGTACATCAATTGATGTAGTCAGCACTCAACGTGTTACAGCCACCAGATGTCGTTGCATAGCTCTGAATGCTTTGGGGAGTTCATGAGAGGCATTGCAGCTGGTATAAGGAAGAATCCAAAACCTTTTGGGGTCACATTAGATCACTCCAAGTCCCACCTACCCAAACAAGCTGCAGATTGGTCATACAACAATGGAGGATCCAAGTCTTTGCCGATTACTTATCCTCGGTCTATGCTCCGCCTAGTAGTTCAATGCTCAATGACGTTTTCATGTCTAGTCTCAATGTACCTGTGTGGCATTTTCTGCAGTTGACGTTGAAAAGATACTACTTGGCCTCAATGCTGATACGGGTGTTGGGCCCGACAATATTCCGCCATTGGTCTTACGGACTTCTGCGTGTTTCATCCAGTGAAGTCTACAGTCACCAATCTATGTGTCCTTACCAACTACGGAACATGAGCTTTCTCAAGACTTCATCAGGTGTTGACCCCACCCCATGAGTATTCCTGGGGGATTCCTGGATTTATTGGGTAATGCACGACTGTAATCAGCCATGAGATCCACAGGACATGTTAATAATTTGACTACAACTGTAATCACTTATCAGCCATGAGATAAAACAGAACAAAATTGACTACAACTGTAATCACTTATCAGCCATGAGATAAAACAGGACATGTTAATAAATTGACTACAACTGTAATCACTTATCAGCCATGAGATTAAACAAGGCATGTAAATAAATTTACTAAAACTGTAGCACTTATCAGCCATGAGATAAAACAGGACATGTTAATAAATTGACTACAACTGTTATCACTTATCAGCCATGAGATACACAGGACATGTAAACACAAACACGACCAACTTTTTTTTACCTGAGATTTGTTATAACTCGACTTCTCCGAAGAAATTTGTAGATTGTATCTTCTAGCTGATGTTTTACCTCATCTTGGTCATCTGTTGTGGGGTTTATTCCAAGTTTACTGAAATTTAAAAGAGTTCAAATGTAAGAGTTATTAATAGAGTACAATGTAGTACAAGAGTACAAGTGACAACAAAGCAATCCCATGGTCACTTGTAAGCCTGACCCTCTGTTAAAAAAAAGGTTCTTATGGGAGGAGGACCACATTTCTCGCCCCGGTGCCGCAGGACGGGAATTTTGCCCAGCGCACTTAACCTGTTAACTGTATTTGAATCAATTTGTTTTGGTCATTAACAGTATTTGGATCAATTTCTTTCAAAGTTTTGGAAACAGTGTTTTCTGATGGATCAAGCACTTGCCAGGAAACACAAAATCTCATCAGAAATCATGTGGATACACTATAACGAATTTGACTATGGGTACAGTAATTTATAACCTCCTACCACCCTTACTCACACAAAATTGCCGCCTACAATAGTAGTCCAGGCAAATTAGATCAAATATAGGGAGTGCTCCCCAAAAATCGTCTAAAGCTGGAAAGTGTTTTAATACCTTTTGGGGGTCCCAAATAAGAGTCCTGTGAGTTTGCGACGGATTCTGACGTCTGCTTAAGTTTTGGGAGTCGAAAAACTATGAAAATTTTGCACTTTTTTCAGTTTTTCGCCTTATAACTCCTAAATATCGAATCCTACGGAAAATGTTGTTCAAAGGTTTCTTTTAGTGCATTAAATTCTGCGTCGATTGGTGTTAAATACGTCAAAATCGGCCGAGCCGTTTAGCCGCAGTAGCTTTCTAAAGTTGGGTCATTTCATCAACATGGTCAAAAAGTTGATTACTTTATTTGACCAGTTTTCGGCTTACAACTCCTAATCGACGCTTACTATACAGAAATGCACCTGTAGTTAGTTTGGAAAACACGACATTCTGCGTAATATGTTTTTTACTAATCAATAATGGCAATTGATTGCTACCTACTTTGTATGGTCGCCATTTCATTGAAAAAAATATTAATATTAAATATTAATTTTAGTGAAATTTTCCAACTTTAACTTTTATAATTAAATGGCGACTATACAAAGTAGGTAGCAATCAATTACCATTATTGATTGGTAAAAAAAAAACATATTACGCAGAATGTTGTGTTTTCAAAACTAACTACAGGTGCATTTTTGTATAGCAAGCGTCGATTAGGAGTTGTAAGCCGAAAACTGGTCAAATACTGTAATCAACTTTTTGGCCATGTTGATGAAAATGACCCAACTTTAGAAAGCTACTGCGGCTAAACGGCTCGGCCGATTTTGACGTATTTAACACCAATCGACGCAGAATTTATTGCACTAAAAGAGACCTTTGAACAACATTTTCCGTAGGATTCGATATTTAGGAGTTATCAGCAAAAAACTGAAAAAAGTGCAAAAATGTCATAGTTTTTCTACTCCCAAAACTTAAGCAGACGTCAGAATCCGTCGCAAACTCACAGGACTCTTATTTGGGACCCCCAAAAGGTATTAAAACACTTTCCAGCGTTAGACGATTTTTTGGGGAGCATATGTCTAATTTGCCTGGGCTATAGCATGATACAGGTTGCTTAATGTGCCATTATCCACTGAAGACTATTAAAGAGAAATAAACACAATCAAATACATTGACGTTTATAATGGACTAGCTATAACCCGCGGGCTTTGCCCCGTTTAACTAATTTTTTAAGATGATCTCGTGTGAAAAGCTTCGTGTGAACGACTACAAGCGCACTCGCCGACGTCTTTCTACAGGTCGGCGAGTTGGCAAGTGGACAACTCCGTGCGAATACAAGCGCACTAGCCAACTCGCTTGCTTCTTACACGCCGGCGAGTAGCATGTAAACTCGCCCCGTGTGAACGAGGCTTTAACATGGGAAACTCCAGAGCCACTGGGGCGGAGCCGATTGGACGGATCACGAAATTGATGGTGTATAAACCTATTCCATGAAATTCTACATGTATGTACCAAGTTTCGTGGCAATCGGATCAGCGGTGTCTGAGTTTATCACTGCCAAATTAAAAATAACAAAAATACATTAAAAACTGGGTTTTTCAAGTTTCTGTTTTCAAGATTCTATTTGTAGCCAGCTTTTGGCTGCTTTTATTAAGTACTTTCAAGAATAGCATAGTAGTTATTTGTAGTAAATTTTATTCTCTTTCAGAATATTACATTCACTTTGGTTGATTTCCCCTCCATTAAAGATATTGGCAATAATCTAAGTGATCTCCAAATTTATAGGGGTTAGAAAATACTGAATTAGATATATTTTTGTTAAACTTTGTACAACTAAATCTAGACTTCTACAGGACCGATTTTGTTACTTAATGGGTCGTTGGAAAGCCTAATTTGTGTAGATTTGCAAATAATTATGAAAGTTTGATTTTATTAGATATTTAAGGTAAAAAAATAAAAAAATAAAAAATAATGCATTTAAAACTCCTTTTATTCCAGGTTTATATTTTCACTTTTATATTTGTAGCCAACTTTAGGCTGCCTTTTTTGAGTATATTCAAGGAATTCATAATAGTAATTTGTAGGAAATTTTATTCTCTTTCATAATATCACCTTCCACTTTGGTCGATTTCCTCGCCGTTTCAAAGTTATTTGCAAAAACGTTAAGCAACCTCCAGGTTTATAGTAGTGAGAAAATACTGAATTAAAGATGTTGTTGTTAAACTTTGTAAAATTAAATCTACAGTTCTACGGAACCGATTTTATTAATTTATACGTCATTGGATAGCCTAATTTGTGAAGATTTGCAAATAATTATGAAAGTACTGTTGAGGTTGCAAGCAAGATCTTTGGCTATAAATCGATGATAAATAACTCCATTTTTTGAAAAATTTGTGTTGGTCGTGATTTAGCTGCGTGCTTTAATGAAATGGAAGCTGGTATTTCAATGAAAGTTCTTAGGTCAAAACAAACAGAATAACATAATTAGAATTAAGTAAATGTATCTACAACTAAATTCCATATCCAAGATATAATCAAATTAATATTTTCTGATTGAGCGATACAGTATCTTGAACCTAACTGATTAAAACTATCAATATCTCAAGTGAAAGCCTTTGAAGTATTTTAAGACGAATACATATAAAATAACATAATTAAAAATAGAGTTAGTATCATTGATTGCAGATAGGTACTAAAACGATTGTATTTATTGTTGATTCGTGATTCAGCAGTGTGCTTTAGGTAATCCGATCTTAATAATCAATAGCTCAAATGAAAGCTGGTATTTCACTTAAGGTTTTTAGACCAAAATGTATAATGTAATTAGAACTGCTGGAATACATCTTTAATTAAAGAGGAAAAAATTCTTTCGTCGAGTAAACATTAGATAAATTAATGATGATGCTTGATGACAAATATGTGCTTGCATAGCTTTATTTTAAGACCAAAATTATGAAATTCGGGCAGGTAGAAGAACTAACCCGACTCGGAAAAGAACAACCAATTATTTTTATAAATGGCAATAATTGGTTTACCAGTATGCATAATCTAATCATACGAAACATGACGTGTTAATAATTCAACAGCTTATTGTTATATTGTTATTTAATTAATTTTTCGTTGATTAAATGTTGTTGTTAACAATTTGCATTTATGTTTAAAATGTATTCCTTATGTTTTATGTTAAATGTGTTATTCTAATGTTATGTACTTAAACTGTACCATTAATATTAGTGAGTAAAGTGGTGTATGGATTTCATAACCATTATTTTACTAGAGACCGTTGTATTTAACCACAACGGGCACTGTTGCTAGTATATAGATAAACCTACTACATAGTTTTTTAATTTTTTGGATCAGCTGTCTGAAATTGTAAAATAGGCATTTGACAGTTCTGGTTGTTTACATTTAAATGTCAAAGCAAATGTAAACATTGTGAATTTTCTCATGCTTCCATAGAGACCAATTATTAATATTTAATTTCAGACAACAGCTGGGGTTTCAAAACAATGTTTGTTTCCCATGTTAATCTTATGGAGAAATACGAAACTTTAAAGGGCCCCAGGGCCTCACTCTCTAATTATTTCCCTAAAAAGAAAGTTTCCTGCACAACTTCACGTATGCTCTTTCCAATGACACCAAAAACATGTCAATCGGTTAAGTAGTTTCACAGGAGTAATTGACACAAAATTCCTGCTTGCGTATTAAATAAGTATAAATTATTATAATTATTTTAAATAACTGCGATCAAGATGATAATATTTCCTTTGATTGAAAATTAATAAAATCCATTAAATGCCAACTACATAATATTAGATTGGATTTATTTAACTAAGAGAGGTAGACATACTTTGAGAATGTACTTATTTGTTTCTAGTGTGATCATGTGTTTAGACTTCTTAATTGTCTAAGATTACTGTAATCAAAAATTTGTTAATGCAATAGGTGGCATTCTTATTTACAAAACCGTAAATACTTAACCATATAAATAAAGAGTAAATCAGGTTCATGTCCATATAGCAAACTAAATCCAAGTCTTAGTTTATTTTTTTAGATGATGGTAAACAAATTACATGTAACATTAATTGATAAAACGTACATTTAATATTTATTGACTAGATGGATTTTTGCTAATTTTTTTACAAAACTGTTTTTCCATGACTAATAACAATAAACCTCAGTGTACTTGATATAATTTCCGGGCTTAAATTTAAATATATATATATATATATATATATAAATATATTAACTAGTTATATATATATATATATACTAGTTGCTGTGCCCGTACTTCGCCACGGGGCCAAAATACTTAAATAGAATAATGTGGGTCTGGTGTCTCTAAACGTAATTTAATAAACATACCTATGTACCATGCAAATTCTACTGACAAATCTTAATCGTACTTATTACCTTTTCAATGAAACTCCCTTGTATTTTTTGCACTTAACTGTGTGGCAGAATCAAAAGATTAACTCAGAGAAAAAAAGAAAAAACATTATAAATAAAAACAAATCCAACACCTGGTCTTATCTTTTATCTATCTATATATTAATTACATAAGCTGATTCTTTGCGTCAAAATTGT